TTTTTGTAATTATTTGACGTTTCTTTATATAATACATATCACCACACGATTGAACTGTTTTTTTTTTTTTAAACAGATGAATATGTAAATAATTGTTTCTCTTTTGTTTTGGGGGGGTGACACACCAGCAGAATCAAGTTAGGCATTTTCCGAATTTTTGACACACCGAGCCCAAAAGGTTCGCCATCACTGGTCTAGTTTGTGGTTCAATTGGGTGAATCCCACAAAACATGGTTCAGTTACACACAGTTCATTCTCACATTCTGATTACACCCAACTTTAATCTTCTAAGTGCTGCTTTTCATTTTTAAGAGGAACGACTAGAGCAACTTACTGGCGGACTTAGCTGTCGCTGAATAAAAGCCAAAGCCCGTAACAGGCTTTGCAGACCCACTACAGCGCTGCATCTCTAAATCCGCCATTTAGGAAAGATGTTGAAACTGGATACCGGTGTGCTTGAGGCGCCCTCTGCTGGGCATTAATGAATCCCGTGGCAAGTCAGGAACGCTAGGCCTTCGAAAGGCAATTTATAATTAAACTACAGATAATATGAGCGGATTAAAGATATATATGAAGTACCAAAGAGTTCGGGAAAATCTAGTCCTTTTCTGCGAAGATATATGTAGAGCACGCTACAGAAACCTGGGGTTTTCCTGACGTTGTATAACTACAATGTCCAGCAACAGTAGCCAGCACGGTCCGGATAAGGAACGATGCGGAGTTGTAGTTCAGCAATACGGGGGACCATACTGGGTCTACTTCTGTGGTCCAGTTATCGGCCCGTTCAGAATATACACAAATTGTGCACTTATGAATATAACTCCATCAATTGTTCATTGTACCAAATTCTGCGCAGACGTTGCGTGCGCCGTATCTTCCAGGAACTGGCTTCTCTTGCACGTCTGAATGCATCCTAACAGAAACACGAAGATCCTGTGTGGAGAAAATTAGCCTGCAGCCACGAAGGAACCGGCCTTGCCTCCTCCCTGGGTTTGCCCCGCTCTTTTTCTATCCCCAGTAGCTTCCTGTTCTTCTCCAGAACGGAAGAATCCATAACCAAAACAGCAGCAGCTCAACAAAAGGCGACATTTGCCTTCCAACGGATCTGGAGCGATTATTGCCCCGCCTCCACTTCAGGGGCGGGGGGGGGGAAATGTATGCTACATTCCATCCTTTCCTATCAGCTTCGAGGCTGCCGAGGCGACCAACCAATAAGAGTGGGGCGTGGGCGGGGCCTGATCTCCGCGCGGGAAGATGGCGCTCAGCGGGGTGGTTGCGCTGTATGCCCGGCTGAAGGTGGTTTGTTCTTTGGAGAGCGGAGGAGGGGTGCACGAGAATCCCGGGGCTGCGAACTAATTGTCGACGTAGGAGGATAGGGGGGCGGGAAGGGATGGAGCTCCGTGTCATCTTGGAGTAGGGCGAGATTGCCTGCTTTTTGGAGGTGGATACCGGGCGGGAATCGCCCTCGGTGCTGCGCGTGGAAGTCCTGATTCTGTCGAGTTGCAGGAAAAAGCAAAATAGTACAAATGCAATAGATGTATCTAGGACACGCTTGTGTATTGGTGGTTCTTCACCATGATGTGCAATGGCAGTGCCCTCTTGAATACCGATTGCTAGATGCGAGCAGGAAGGCTGCTGTTTTCATGCCCAGATCTCAAGTTCAAAGAAGTATCTGGTCTAGATGAGTTTTCAGAATGCCCACTAATAAATGTTCTTAGCTTGTTAGAGATCGTCAGGAAAATGTACGTCTGTAATTTGCTTCTTGAAGATTTGCTTTAAAGGAAGGTCAGATTTATCACAAGTGTATATTGGTGGCGATGGCATTAGGGAGCCTCCAAGTTCGGAGGCAGTGTATCACGAAATACTGCTTACGAGGAGCAGTGGTAGGCACAATTGTTGTCTTTGGATGTAGGCATCTTGGTTATGAAAACAGGGTGCTAATTTAGATACCATCCTAATCTATAGGATAGGTTGGTTTTGTTAATCCATTTTGGAAAAAGGAACTAATTTCTTTGGGTAAGGTACTTATATTACCGTCTTTGTTGTATTTATTCCGAAGTTAACTCTTAAATTCCATTGAATGCGATGAGCTTTGCTCTATAAAAAAGGACAGACTTACAGCCTGATCCTCTGCATGTTTACTTAGAAGTAAAATGTTGAGTTTCATTGTATATAGCATTCTAACAGGCTTTCTTCTAAGTAAATACTTAGGGAGGGAGGAGGAGGAGGAGGGGAGGGAGGTCATCAGATATGGGGTTGGCTAGCCCCCTAGAGGCCTGGTGTTGCTTCCA